AGTTGCACGCTAAGCAACTTGTAATCAAGACCTCACACTGCTTGGTAGAGTCGTGACCGAGTGTCGGGGGAGACTCGCTTTCTGTGGGGGCCACTTTCCGCTTGCCAGTCAGTAGTTTTATTTCCATTTTAATTTCCAGAGCATCTACCCCCCAGCCACAGCCGGTGGTTTGGAATTCATGACTCTGTTGTGTGTTTACGCACTACGCTTGCTTGTAATTGACAAATTTAAATTCTGGTCATATTTCATTTATTACCCAGACCCAGGGAAAAAATCCTAGGCGAAAACCTAATTATAGGGAAAGTGCCACAAGGTAATTGCTGTGAAAGAACTCCTGCTGTGGCAGGGCTGAATATTTCATCCACCCATAAAATGATTATGCTGACAAGATTCTGAAAAATAATAAAATCTGTTTAATAAAAAAGAAGCAAAATATCAGTGTTTTTACACACAAAGTATTAAAACATCCTTCATTTTGGACAGATCCTAAGTCATTTGATTTTTATTCAAATCATGACCCACAGCCCTGATAGTTCTTTAATCCAAGACTGGAGTACTGCAATCCTTCCACACGAGTCTGTTTGAAAGCTTTGGGGCCTGGCGTGGGCTTTCAGAATCCACTTGTTATTGCTCTAGTGGATCTTTGGAAGATGCTCCAGGATCAGAAAACAGACAAAACAGACAGGATGAAGGGCGAGGGGCAGTGCCCTCAGGTTGGACTGCTGTGTCTAGATTGCTACAGCACATCCACTCTCTCCCCAGCTGCCTTGCAACTGCCCCTCCTTTAGATGGCTCAGAAAGCATGAAAATGTGGCTTCTGTTACCAAAGCTTTGCTGAGAGTCCTGCAAGGTGGTGTCAGGGGGCAATGCACATCTTGGCTTCTCAGACCATTCAAGACACTACAGCAGTGCTCCATCTATTCATTCAGCTACTGAACAGAGACATTTTGAGCACATACTCTGTGCCAGGACTTGTGCTAGGTACAGGGTAGATGAGGGAGAATAAGACAATCCATTCCCTCCCTTAATTAGAAGTACATCATAGTAAAAGAGACAAGTTAAAGCCCAAGCAAAGAGAAAACAAAAACATAAACAACAATATAACCAATTAAATCAAGTAGCATATGGAAACAAAGAACTCATCTTAGAAAATGTGCCCTAAAACATGAAAAGAAGCCCCTTGGGAGGCTCAAAAGGAAGCAATTGCAGAACCACTGTTGGCATGGACCAGGGTTGAAAAGAGGGGGAGGAAGGGGACTGGCACCATGCAGACCAGGGCAAGAGGGCAGCGTTTGTTCCAGGTTCTAGAAGGAATGATGGGAGCAACTGAAGGAAAGACATGATCCAATGTACACGTTCAAAAGCTTGCCCTGTTGTAGTGTGTAGAGAGAATCATAGGAGACAAGAATCTCAGTGAGAAACTAGTAAGGATGCACTTGCAAGCAGCTCAGGTGGCAAGGCCGATGTCCTGGACCAGGGGCATGGCATCAGAGGTAGTAAAGTTCTGAGTACAAAATGCACATCTAAAATAGATATATTTTAAAAACCAAACCACTTCTCAGTCTCTAGCTCTTGGCTCTCCATTATGATGGCAAATAAAACTAGAGACCAAAGAAATAAAATAAAACAAAGGCCAGAAGAAATAAGACTTAAGTTAAAATGAGGCTGGTGCACCCATCTCCTCCCTCCCTCCCTCACCTGAGAGAGCAGAGCAGATGGTGTGAGTTGTTTCCGGCTGGGCCAGACCCCATACACTTTCCTCTCTCATTAAGTGGACCTTATTTAGATCTAAAATTATGTAAGTAGACTTTTTTTTTTAAAGAGAGAGAGAGAGAGAGAGAGAGAGAGAGAGAGAGAGAGAGAGAGAATTTAATATTTATTTTTTAGTATTTGGCGGACACAACATCTTTGTCTGTATGTGGTGCTGAAGATCAAACCCGGGCCGCACGCATGCCAGGCGAGCGCGCTACCACTTGAGCCACATCCCTAGCCCCTGTACGTAGATGTTTTGAATGCACTGAATCCTGGCATCAGAGCCAAGGTGAATTTCCATGGTGCTTCTGAACTTGTGGCTTATGAATACCCAGGAAGCTGAAGTCAGTGTTCTGCCAAGCAGGGCACACAGACCACCTGGGGTACAAGAGCCGGTGGTATAAAGGTACAAATCTGGGGAGCCCCACCTTAGGTTTACTAAAGCAGAGTCTTTGAACCTTTCAGAAGCTCCCTGAGTTAACTGACATACAGCATAAAGCTCAAGAAGGTCTGCTTTAAAGTGATTGATGTACCATGCTGAGATGTGATGTGAAGATAAAATAGATGGGGTTGGGGTGAAAATTGTAGCTGGGCTAAATAAATAAACACAAATAAATAAAAACCCCTTAAACCTTATAATCATAAATGCTAATAATGATTGTTAACATTTTGGTGAAATTCTTCCAAACTTAACCTTCACACACATACATTCCTTTCTTCATAAGGAAAGATGAGTGCACTCTTACATTCTAGTGTAACTGACTTCATAAACACGTCATATGTCTTTTCATAAAGAGGCTCATTCTTCATTGCACAGCAGGCTGATGAGGGTGCGGTGTGGGGTGGGGCAGTGCTCAGAGGCAGAGGACCTTGGATCAGGATCTATGCCTTTAATAAACAGAAAATATCATTATGGGATGGATGGCTGACATAATAGAATTAGAAACATGCTTTTATTTGGGGACAGAGACAGGTGTTCTCTGATTGGTGGATCTCTGGAAATAAACACAACTTGTGTCATGAACATGCCTGGCTAGAGGAAGGCATCATCTAAAGCAAAGCACAAAGAGTTTGCAGACAAAAAGACAGGCAGGCAACAATGACAACACAGTGCCTTGTTGAAACCATCAGCGTCTGTCCATCGCTATCTCAAACACCCAGAAGGAAGAGGAGAGCCCGTGCTACCTGGTAAGTGCATCCAGGCTCCTATTCTGAACATCACCTTGGAAGCCTCAGCATCTCAGGCTTCCAAACCTTCTGAATCCCAGGGCTCCACACTGTTTCCCTTTCTTCTTTCTTGGCTGAAGTAAGCAGGGTTAAGACTCGCCAGATTAAGTAAATAGCAGGATTTCCAGTTTCATTTCTGAATCTGAGTGCCACACAACACTCAGGACAAATGTACTATAACAATTGTTATTTCTCTGAAACTTGAATTTAACTGGGTATCCTTTTTTTTTTTTCCTGGCAACCTTACTTGATTAGCTTCCTATTTTAGAGGGAAATGTTGATACAGAACTATAATTTCTTAGAAGTAAAACACCTCAGCTAACCTAGGAGCAAGGTAGGTTTTTGGTAATATCTTTTTGTGTTGCAGAGTGTTTTCTTTTCTCCTGGAGGGAAAGAACATGCTTCTTGTACAGCTACTTGAAGACAAGAGTGGCAGCAAATCCAACTTTCATTTTAGATCACAGAGGCTGTGATCTGCTTGCTTCTTGCTTTCTTTATGTGGCTGGCCAGGGGAAATCACTGGTTGAATACAGAGGGGTGTATTTGATCTTTCCAAGGTGGTCCTGCTTCTCTGGTAAGAATCCATGTATGTGCAGGGGTTGCTACTTCCAAAATTTGTGAAGACTGGATTGTTCAGAAGGGAGTTGGCGCTCTAGCAGCAGCAGGCCCTTAGACACCCAGGCCAGGACTTTTAATTGATAATGAGCAGGAGGGAAATGGGAGCCCTGAGATCCAGTGGAAGAAGTGAGATAATTTACTCAATTTGTTTTCCTGGAAACCAGGACTTTGTGTCAATGATTTGTAATAAAGCTAACTGAGGCACAGACTTGGCTCCATAAAATGCTTAATCGCCCAGTTTTGATAACTGCCATTCTCTTTAGGGGGGAATTTACCAGCCTTTTAATCTCCTTCATTTGATTAACATTAGAATCAACAACAGCAACACAACCTGTGTTGGGTTCCAGGAAACTGTTGTATTCACAGACTGATTAAAGAAGACAGATTTTTTTTTTTTAAGGGTCTGAACTATAACAGTCTCAAGCATTAAGTAGTAGATCATGCTTTTAAAGTTTTATCTTATTAGGGAAAAACCAAAAAGACAGATGTATACTTGTTTAAGGAGGTAAAAATACAACAATAAGTAGTCATCATTCCTCCATGATAATTTTATGGATGAAAATACATTATTATAGTTTTTTTCTGAGTTTTTAATCTGTTTTTTCTTCTTATAACACTTAGTTAAAAGAAACACAAAGTTGAAACTTCTTTGTGAATGAACAGCTCAATGAGGTCCTGTTTCAAATGCAGTCATTTGAATCTATTTATAAGAAAAAAATCAGAGCTTTGGGGTGGGTAGAAAAGACTTTAGATCCTATGAAAAGTTCTGTGAGTCTGGTAAGGTAGATCCTAGCCATGGGTTAGGCAGGGCAGTTCCTGAAAATTCCTGGTTCATTCTTGAAACAGTTCCATGTGCTTGGGAGCTTGGGACACCACGTACTGCCTAAGCCAGCTCTGCCATCGCTTGATCTTCAGAGTCCTCGATCTTAATGCTATGCTCCCTCACCTACTGTTTTCATCAACTTCTCCCAAATAGCTTATTTTCTTCTGCTGTTATCTACAGGGTGCTTCCAAACATACATAGGGAATCCTGTAGGCCTGGGGAGAAGTTTTCTTTTGTCTGCATCAAAATAAGGATATATCTGGTAAACTTTCTGTTAGGTTAGTCTTATTCTGAAATTGTATTCTTCCTTTTATTTTTCCTGTTGTTTTGATGTTAAATTAAATTACCCTTGCTTTTATAAAATGGCAATGCCAGCTCTTGTCTTATTTGTATTGTTAATGTCCTTAATTCAGCCCAAAGCAGGTGGTACTCTTTTCTACAAGACAACATATCATAGAGGAAATAATGGAAGGACTCAGAATCGCACAAATAGGATATACAAGGTTCTGTCCTTACCTGGCCTTGAGCCCTTGAGCAGGAACTGAAGTGAGATTAAGTTTCTTTCTCCATAGATTGGGTTATCAGAAAATTAAAGCTTCTGACATACATATGACAGACAGTGGGTATCCAAAGAGTTTTGTTCTATTGAGCCTTTTTAATACTTTACTCAGCACTCAGAGTATTACATGAAACACACTCAGCACACATACAGAAACAAATACCACCAGTGCTTACATTTAAACTATCATGCGAAGCATTCATCAGCAGAGGCTTGTGTGAAACTGCAGAGTTGGGTAGGGTTGATTCAAGAAGCTGCCTATGGGATTTTGAAAGGAACATACAGCACATTGAGAATTAAGAAGTCTTAGAAGGGGAAGAATTATTGGAGAGTGTATAATCCTAAATTCTAAAAACCAGGGGACATGTCCCACCAGTAATACGAAGGATATCTACATGTGGCAACATAGGCTTAAACAATGTTTACCCAAGGAATGAGAGTTATTTCTCTTTCAGCTCTTTAAAAATCTTTGATTTTATTCAGAAGAATGTCTGTTTTCCCTACACTGCCTTTAACACTTCTCTAACATTAAGACCCTTTAACAAAGATCCCTCATTGATCAGGACGCAAGTTCATCTAATTATTTAAAATACTGTCTTATTTTCATTCTTGATTTTTCCTCTAACCTTCTGTTAATATTTTATCCCATTTACACTGATGACCTACAGATTTAAAAGTAAACTTAAAATTTCAAAGGAAGTAAATTTTAAATAGAGGTAATAATAGTAACATCAGTAGTAAGAGCTTTTGTCAAGCAGTCATTACCCTGACCATCCCTGGGTGAAATCTGGAAAATACTGGTATAGCCCATGTGTCTCACCCAGCTTTGGATTATATAATAAATTCTCTATTGTTAAAATGAATACTAACGAACAGGCTACTCTGTGGCTTGTCAGGAAAGCACTGGTTCAAGTGGCTACTGTGCATTACAGAGGAAGCTTAGAGAAGGTGAAGACCTTCCTAGCACCTGAGGCTGGAGAAGACCAAGCTCCTCACCAAGACTAGGACAATAACCAGGGCACCACGTAAAATCTGTGGGCCAGCACCAAGGGATGAGTGAGAGTCCCCTTGAAATCCAGCAAAGATGGCTTGAATCCCAGCCTCTCCGCTTGGCAAGACACCACGGTACCTCTCAGCTTACTGTACTCTTTACTCATCTGTAAAAAATGTATCGGAATAATAATAGCTAACAGTTATGGAGCACTTTGAAGGAATTATCTCAACTCTCAAAATAACAAAGACAGCTGTCATCCCCTAAGATAGATGAGCGCATTGGGACTCTGGCTACACTGCAGCTAAACAAATGGCGGAATAGGATTCAAAACCAAGCAGTCTGGGCCCAGGGTCTGGCCTCAAAGGAGGACACGTCAGCACCTTCCACACCCAGGGGTTCACTTGCAGCCTGGCTTCCAGAACCTTCTCCTTAGTGACGAAGCCAAGAGCTGCACTTCCCAGGATGCCTCTGGCTGTAGAGCTGGCCAATCAGGAAGCCCCAGGTGGAGGAGCCGGCCAATCAGGTAGTCCCAGGCAGAGGAGCTGGCCAATCAGGAAGCCGGCCTTGAGTCAGCGCCTGCTCAGAGCGCCTCGCAGTCAGAACTTTGGGGACTGTTGGCCAGGTGGGTGCTGAGGGCCAGGCGCTTGAGGGGCAGGCCGGGGTTACTCAGTTAACTAGCCCAGTGGGGTGTCGTCGGAGGGCGAGGACGATTGCACTCTCCAGGCTCCTTCTCCAGCCACTGGGTAGGCAGGCGGTCCTTGCGGGGGCTCTTCCTGGGCTCCTCCGGGTGGTTGGGTGGGAAGGGCCTGGGCTGGCAGGTGGCCAGGGACCCCCTCAGCTGCTACCCAGGGCATCTGGGGAACCATCCATTTCCTCAGGGTGCGGCGGCCGTTGGGCAGCAGTTGGGCACCGGGAAGGCCAGGGTGGGCTTCGGCAATGGTTGGGTCAACAGGGCGGGGTTTAGGGACAACCAGCCGTGGTCCTGGCTGCTGCAGACCCTGCCCCTCGGGAAGGGCCAGTGCTTCAGTGGCCTGGGTGCCTTTGGTCTGTGACACGTTGGCTTCCCTGGACCCCGATATGCTGTCCCCAGAGCGGGGTCTCCACTTCTGGCCTCTTGCCTCACCTCCTGGTGAAGCGCAGTTGAACCACCCCCACCACCACCGCCAGGTGTGTCCAGCTTCCTGGAGAAGGCCAGACTCTTCCTGGCCCTGGTCGCCTGTTAGGTGGGATCTGCCCACCCACTGGGCATTTACACCCAGCAGGCGAAATCCATTCACTTGGGCATTTTGCTACCCAGTTGGTTTTACTCTTGCTTTTAATTTTTAGTTTTTACATTTATTCTTTGCTTTTAGAGTACTTTAGTTCCACCACCCCAGCCCTGCCCACCCTCTTTATTACTTTCTCTTTTTTTAAAATCGTGTTTCCTTTCCCCTCAGTCCTTTATCTTTTGGTTTGGCATGCCCAGCTAAGGTTGTTGACACTCCCTTTGTAGCACAGAGAGCCTTAAAAGGGGATGCGAAGTGCATTTTACTGATTGATGTCTGAAAAACAAAACTATTTCTGTTACAGTGTCTCTGAAGTGAGTGAAATAGGATAAATTCCTCTGGTTCAAGAAAAGGCAGTTGCAAGGATTGATTTAAAGGTTAGTTTTCATTATTTTGGACAAACAGCCTGACCCTTAACTGCCCAGCTTTCACACTGTGGAGGAATTGTGTGCTAATTGTGTGTTATTTTTCTAGTAATTTTGAGAGACATCTGAGGGCTGAGGTTAGTTTCTATTCAATCACGTGTCTTTATACTTGTATCTGACTGGATTAAGTACATGTAAAATACTTTGTCTATAACATGGTAATGTGTTGACTTATACACTTCCATTAACCCAAATTAAAATTGTGCTGCTTAACTCCTAAACCTAAAGTAGCCATTTTGTCATCTGAGTTATAATCAAATCCTATTTTGATTTTACTGTGTATTTAAAAAAAATCATAAGTGGATCATGTCATTCAAGAATAAATTAGAGACATTGACTTACATAAACAAAATCAGAAAGAGTGTTGTACAATTGCTAAATTGTAAGGTGGTATATAAATACTGAGGCTTTCTGAAAAGAGGCCATCTTCATTTCCATTGTAAGGGCCCCATCTTGTGGATATGGTATAAATAAAGAAGAAAAAAAAACCAAAACACCTCCATCCCAAGAATTCCAGTAGGAGTTGTTTTCATTTGGAAAAATATTACAAAATAGATTGATGATGTCTTTCTATGTTAGATGAAGCCAGATACTAAGCCTAAAAATAAAGTATCAGTTCTGAAGTAATTTTTTTTAGAAATGCTAAAAGTTCAAGTATTTTTAAAGTATACATAAATACTTCTGGTTTATATGTCATTTTTCTTCTGTTAAAGCAGATGTTTAAGAATAATGTTACTGATCATAAGCAAAAGGTGGAAGCCATGATTAAAGACATTAACACAATCTCTTTGGAGTTGAAGAAGATGAAAGGTAAGAATAAAATCACTAAATTAAAACGTTTTCATGTTGTTATAAAGTAAATGGTAGAGCAAATTTGTGTTGGATTTCTCTATTAGGAAATGTTGACAGTACAGTCTATACAATCTAATCTATAAAAATGAATCAGGTTTGAGCATTGACCCAGGAATTAGAAGATCCATATTCTTATCCCTAACACTAACAAGCTTCTCATGTTGTCTAATGTCTAAATTTACCTCTCTTCCTTTCCTTCAGCACACTATTCAGTGATTATGACACATTCTACAAAATTTTCTGCAACTTTATTGATGAACTCAGTAAGTCCCTAAGGTTCATTCCAAATTAAGAATTTTGATTCTGTGAGTTACAGATTCTTTATTTTAACCATGTTCAGAGAGTGATAGCAGACCTTATAATTCATGTTTAGTCAGTCACCAAACAAAAATATTCCATTATTTTATCTTAGATATGTGAAATTTCCATGATATACTATTTCTATGGATAATCTATCCTTGAACAGACATTCCGTGTCTTGGGGAACTCCGTATCTCACCAGTCAACCCAACCCGTTTTTGACAGTTCCTCTTTATGGACTAGCTGAATCTGTTCCCTTGTTCCTTTGATCTGTGGGTCTTGTTCTAACCATGAAAACTACATCAAATATGTAGTTATTCTTCTTACCACTCTTGAATATTTGAAGATAGCCTTTATTAGTGGTGAGTCCTCCAGCTTCAAGTAATAAAATACCAACTTAGAGTGACTTCTGCAGTAAGGAATGTTTAGATCTAATGGAGGACATCCCCAGAGTGAATTCAGAGGCTTAAGATTTCATTAGAGACCAGATTCTTCCCATCTTTTTTCTCTGTCATGTTCACTCTCTTTATCACTCACTGCTCATGGTCATTACCTTCAGAGATGGCCATATACAGACATTATCTCTGCCGGTCTCTATTTAAGCCATTCCCCAGATGCCTGCAGCACATTTCCCCTCTCCTTTCATTGGCCAGATTTGCATCACTTGCGGATTCCTACAGCAGTCAAAGCCAAGGGGAATGGGACTCCCAAGACCAGTTTGGACCAGTCAGAACGCACTGCTGGAGCTGGGGAAAGGAGCACCTCAAATGGAACCAAGTTGTGCCACCAAGAAGAAAAAGGGAGTGGCTGTTAGTTAGGCACCAAATAGTGAGTGTCTGTTCTGCTTTGTCCCCACGAAAAGTGCTCCCTAGGGTAGCATTTTCAAACTTTGGTCTGTGAACCCTTCTGTCTCAAGAGATGTTAATAGATGATATGCAATAAAACAGAATATGTCCTAATGGTCAAAAAGTTGGGGAAGTGCTTTATACTGTATATTTCACAAATTCATAGTGAATATTAATAGAATGAGAAGTTTGTTACAAAGAAGTCTGATTAACTTTTATTATCTCTCAAAATATCAACACTATGTGAAGATTCTCTTCCTAAAATGAAAATCTTCTGAAAACCTTCCTTGAATTCACCATTATCCTCAGGATGAAATCCAAGACTCCTAGAATGGATTGTTTAATACATCCTTTTGAGATCTGGCCCTGCCTCCCTTTCTAATCTCACCCTTTTTTCCCTGCATATTTTGTGTTTCGATGATACTGAATTATTAGCATAACCATGCATCTGTTTTGTGTCTGTGCCCTAATACATAGGCCTTCTGAAATCCCATTACTACACCTCACCTTCTCCATACTAGGTTAACTGCTCCTTATTTGTTGAGGTCACTTACATTGCTTTTTTTGAACCCATATGTTTTCCTTTTCCCCTTCCCTATAACGTGTCATACTATGTTGTAATTGTGTATCTATTTGCTTTTTCTCTCCCTGCCCAACTGGAAGCTCATTAAGAGTATTTCTATCATTTAACACAGTTTCTTGATAGGGGTTCTTGAAAATTTTTATTAAATAAAAAATAATGTTTCTGGATGCTTGAACTCATTTGAAACAATTAGTCTTTCCATTCCTCCAAGATTTGATTATTTGTGAAATATTCTTTCAAGAAGTAAATAGAGATGATAAATATGATAAACATGTTCCTGAAAAGTTGTGTGGGTAGGGTAGTCAGGCAGTTAGTATATGAGGACCTAAAGAGCTAGACTAGAAGGGTAAATTTCTGGTAAGGACTAAATGAATGCTCCATTTATACTCACTTCTTCCCAAAATAATAGTGTCAATGGATAACAGAATTTTTACATGATTTAGGTATTCTTCTAAGAGCTCCACATAAGTGAATTCATTTAATTGTAATAACAATGCTATAAGGTTGGACAATGACAGATGTGTAAATAGGTTAGTTAATTTTATCAAAAGTCAAGCAACTAGAGAGTAGTAGACCTAATTTTAAAATTTATAAAGAGTCAGAAATCTATATGGTTTAAGAGATGAATAAATAACAACAAAATAGATACAAAGGGAAGCGAATAAGTCTAAATTCTGACATCCATAAAATTCTGAACTCTTAAAATGACTAGCTACAACCAAGAAATAAACTCTCAAGACTCAATACATGGTGACCCCAGAATTCTCCAGAAATGAGGGTGGAGCATAGCTGGATAACTGGGAATACTAGTTAAATGTTAAGAAGTCATAAATCCCTGAGGTCTCTTCTGCCCTGTAACTGGGCAACCATCCCCCTTCTGTGACATTAAAGCCATGGTTAAAACAAGGAATGTCTTCCTGGAGCCACCAGACACAGTTTAGGGAGAGGACTATACTGAAAATAGGATATTAGACAAAGTTTACATACTAAATTGTTAGACATCCTAAAATGGCCACCAAAACACTTAAAGCCAGATTTATACCCTTCAGATTTTTTTTTCTTTCAGGAATTTGATCACCTAAGAATAAAGAAAGTAAAGATCCCCCAACAAAATAATCCAGAATGGTTATGCGGTAATATATAAACACTGTGAGATGGAGTTTCCAGTTCTTTTTATTTTCATGATCTTAAACATCTGCCAAAAACTGTGGTGTAACAGATATTTGAGGAAGGCATTAAATCTGAACAGCAAAACTTAGAAATCAGTGAGAGAGAAACAATTTTTGAAGGGAGATAAAACTTCAGGAAACTACTGTTAATATCCACAGAGAAGTTGGAGAAGATGCTAAAGCCACTAAAAAGAAATAAGATACTATAAAAATATTTAGGGAGCAAAAGGGAGTGCTTGGAAATTAAAGTATGAAAGTAGAAGTGAAAAACTCTAGAAAGACTGAAAAGTAAAGTGAAGAAATCCCCCTAGGGTATAGAGCAAAACAACAGAGATGGAAAGTTTTAGTGTAAGAATAGTGACAAGATCAGTGAAGGAAGTCCAACAGTTAATACTGTTAGAACATAGACAATAGATAGGAAGAATTCATTGAAAACATAATCTGAGAAATTTTCCCAGAGCCAAAGGACAGGAATTTCTACAATGGAAGAGCCCAGCACAATGGATGAAAATAGATACATACCAAGGCATAGTATTATGAAATTTCAGAATACTGAGAGAACAAAAAAAGCATTCAAATGTTTGAAAAGATGATAGGGATTGAGAATATCGTAAAAATTCTCAATAGCAACATGGAAGTTAGAAAACAGTGCAGCAATGCCTTTGGAAATCTGCAGAAATAGTTTCCAATTTGAATTTCTATAGGTAGACAACCTGCATAATTGGACATTAGTATATAAAGAGAAATTTTTAGATTATGTACCTCCTCTTGTCCCTGGAAGTTACTGAACCTGTGTCCAAACAAGTAGCAGACCAAAAGAGAGATGCATGTAGATTCTGGAAAAAGAGCCACTCCACAGAAGGGAAGGGGTGGAAAGGGAATCCCTAAGATAGTGGTGAAGGGAGCAATCTAGGCGCACACAATCGCACAGCAGTCCTAGAGAGCAGTTGTCTCAGAGTGCTGCAGTGGAACTGCTAAGGCTTTGAGATATGTCCTAATACACAATGAAAAAAGTAGAATACAATTATTGTGCTTGGGAGGTAGCTTGCAAGGAACAATGTATCCTACTTACAAGACTCAGCTGTGAAAAATACTAATATAATTAAGCATTAAATATTTGAGCTACCAAGAACTGTCCTCTTATTGGGGGAGTAGGGATTGAGTGAAAGAGCTATATCCACAAGGCACAAGCCTCCAAATTAGAAAGAAATGCCAGTTAGAGATATAGGAATAAACTACTTAATCCTCCCTCAATCCAACAACAAAAAAAAAGAAAGGAAGGGACATGATACAACAAAAGCAACAAAGTTAAAATGAGAGAAACTATTTTTTGTAACTTGCCTTGTAGACCTGATTCTATGTGCATGTATAACTTAAATATGTTTAAAAATGTAGCCAGGTGCAGTGGCACATACCTGTAATCCCAGGCTGAGGCAGAAGGATTGCAGGTTCAAAACCAACATCAGCAACAGTGAGATGCTTAACAACTCAGTGTGACCCTGTCTCTAAATTTAAAAACTACAAGATAGGGCTGGGGATGTGGCTCAGTGGTTGAGTGCCCCCAGGTTCAATCCCTGGTATACCCCCCGCCAAATGTACAAATCAAATTTGTAAAAATCTAGTTAACAGTGTAGGAAAATCGCTGACTATTGGGCCTAAAAAGTATTTCCAGTCAAGTTTTACATCATATTTGTGTGTAGTATATAAAGCTACAATTCACACCTGAATTGTAGTTTGATCAGTAATCATTTGAAAAAACTAAATTAGGAATAGCTTCTTAGAGTTACTTATGACATGTGTCCTATAATGCCTGCCATGATTTTGTTTTACTCAGAGCTCTCCCAGTTATTGCTTTGTGACCTTACTCTACATTTTAATCACCCTGTGAAGATGGAAGACTTAAAGGAAGCAGAAAGAAGCAACCCCCTGTTTGAAGAGTCTGAATTATCTGATGTATCCCTTACTTCTAACAAATATTCTGTCTGACTTTTTTTTGTTTGTTTGTTTATAGTGTGAGAAATTTCTATTTTTATTGTTGAATTAACAAATTTGTGGGGGAATTGAGTTTACTAACATACTTAATATACTAAAAAAATAATAGCTGTAAATAAACACTTCATGTTCTTGAAGGACGCTTCATTATTTGCATGTTTCAGAGTGGCTCAATTGGTTCACCGTAGCAAGAGCATGACATGGGATATCCACTATGGGCACTGTTATCCTTTTTGTTTTATGCTTGAATTTGGCTTAGGTTGCCAGTTACTAAATTATTAATGGGGATCCATATGAGTTTACATTAACCAGAGCTCTGCTGGTATTGCACACACAAACAGGGAAACATTTATTGGGTCGTGTGACTTTTCCACAGTTGGAGTAGATTTCAGGGACTTCACACATCATCTGATGTCTCTGTTGTGTATCTGTGTGTTGACCTCATTCTTTCCTTTGATTGACTGGTTTCCACCACAGGGTGGGGAAAAGGAGGGAGAAGGAGCTAGCTGACAACTCTAGGCATATAGCATTGCCTTTGGGGGCCCCCAAATAAGAAAGATCTGTCTCTCTGCCCATGTTTTTAACAGTTCAGAAAAGGACCCCAACTGGTCAAAGATGCTTATCCCTGAGCACAGGCCTGTGCAGTGATGATTGGGACCATAAGGCCTGAGGGCAAAAAAGGAGCAGCTCAGCCAGAAGAAGGAAGCGGCCCCTGTGGGTCACAAATGCATCAGATTCCGATTGATTTCCACCACAGCAGTGGAATGGAACATCTTTATCCTAAAAGTTTCCAACTTCTCTCCCTTCCCACCAGGAGACTTAAAAAACTAAGCTCTGGGTTGTCATCATGATTCACCACCAAATAGATATTTTTTAGCAAAAGAGAATGCTGTGAGGCAAGACACAAGTTGATTTCATTTCATCCTGGAGTGTAGTGTCAGCTGACCTCACTGCCCAGCACCTGGCTCAGTGTTTAACCCAGAATTGACACTAAATAAGTATTTGTTATAACATGTCCTGTTGAGCAAGCATGCAAATGAATACAGGTCTTTCAGCTTTTGAACATCCAATTCTGGACTCAAGTGAATTGAGAGCTTCTGGTTTGTAAGAATGAGTTTTTTATTTTTATCATTAGTTAAAAGTCTCCATATTCCACATAACTTCTTATCTTAGCATATCAATTTTAACGAGGTAACTTGTCCCTCTTCCAATGCTCTATTAGATTGTGAAATTTAAGGTGTAAGATAACTTTCTTTAACTCATAAAACTGGTAGATTAAGCAGAGAGCCCAAAACTTTTTGTTAATAAAACTTGTGTAGCAGTAAGTCCCCAAAGGGAAACATATGAAGGTAGGTTTTTGTTGTTTTGCTGATTGTGGGTTTTGCTTCCTAAATACCCACCACAGATTCTCCTTGATTTTTGATGAGGTTGCGTCTTTGAAAAAAACCACTATTGGTTGAAAATACTGCAAATAAAAAATGAATTTCCCACACAGACACCACAGCTCAGCCTACCATAAACATGCTCAGAACCTTTCATTAGCTTACTTTTGGGTAAATCATCTAACACTCTCTTTTATATTATGTTGAATATGGCACGGCATATTGAACACCTGTATCCAAACACTAGCCACATGGCCACTAGCTAGGTGGTTGCCCTTGGATCACATGGCTGGCTGGCTCATCTGCTGCCCAGCTTCCTGAGAAGATAGTGCTATATAGCACTAGCCCAGGAAGAGCTTCAAACTACAATTTCTGCTTAATGAATATTGCTGTCACATCATCATAAACTCGAAAATAAGTCAAACCATCACAAGTCGGTGACTGTATTTTTTGTTAAGTGAAATTTGTAAACTGAAGGAAAGCATTTAATTGCCTTGAAGGGTTTATAAGCCAATTTGGGAAGAAAGAAAAGGGACTTTAAGACAGGTTTATCGGGAATGAAAAGACCCAGAAGAGCAGTGCTATTGTTTGGATTAGTATCCACGAAAGGCCCATGGTGTTAAAGCCAGTCCTCAACCCTTGGTGCTATTGGAAGCAGTGCCACCTTTAGGAGGTGAGGTGTAGCAGAAGGGAAGTTAGAATACTGGGGTTGTGCCCTTGAAAGGGTAGGGTATTAGGACCTCAGCTCTGCCTCTCTCTCTGTTTCCTGGCCATCATAAGAACAAACCTCTTCCACATGCTCCCACCTCATTGTACTGTACCACCAGAGGCCCGAAGCAACAGGGCCAAGTAACCATGGACTGAAACCTCTGGATCCGTGAACCACAATAATAAACTTTCCCTCCTGAGTTGATTATCTCATCTATTTTGTCATAGTAACAGAAAACTACCTAACACAAACAGTGTTTAAAAGCAAAGTTTGATGAAATTGCATCACCATCTAAGCACTGCTCCTTCATCTCCCCAGGAAACTCAGTGAAGCCTATATCACTGAGCATTGCTTTTGGGTTGGGTGATAGAGGGTGTGATGGGGGTGCTGGGTACAGGGAGGGGATGAAATGTCAATCTATTTGATACCAAAGTCTCATCTCTAAATTTAAAATGTTTCCTTTTGATATCTGTAGATTGAATTTGCTTTAAAACAATAATAGTACGAACTAAACAAAAAAGTCAGTAAAGTCGTTATAGGAAGCCAAAAGAAAGGCAAAAGACTATTTTAATCCCAGGAAGTTATCCCAACATGCATTTATCTTGTCATTAAAAAGTACACAAAATCCCCCCAGCAGAAAACACCAAATAAGAACCAGTGGCATTATATTTTTGAAGCCTCAAATTATTGCTCCTGAAAAAAAGAATTTTAGTAACTTTTAAGTTATATAAAAAAACTGATGATTACCTCTGACTGACAAAGGCTTGGCTATGTTCCATGTGATATCAAAAACTACTACTGTTTCAGTGTTTCTAAACTTGTCCCGAATTTGCTGTGGCTATGTAAACTACTTCACTTCAAAATGGGCATTCAAAAATACACATTTTTTTTTTAAATGAAGTACGTAGTACACTACTAGACTTCAAGTGTGAACAATATTACTCTTGCACTTTATAAACATTAAAGAGGAATAAATAAATTATGGTATATTTGACAGTCTTCATTTCAAACACTGTTTTTAAAGGGAAGTACAAAACTCTCGTGTCCATGTCAAGGGGTTGGTTTCAGTACTGTTGTCCATTCACCAAGGTCGGTTGATCTTCTCAGGTCCACAACAGAGGCAAAAGGAAAGTCCGTCTCCTTGACTCACTTGCTACAGACACCCTGCAGCATGCGTTAATGTGCATTGGTATCTAGAGCCTCGATTTTTCCCATCAATGAGCAGAAGTGGCATTTTTCTGAAGTAGTCAATAATATCTGACACTGACAAAAAATCCTGGAAAGTTAAAAGAGGAAGATAAGTCATCATTGAGTGGATAGTATGAATTTCACTGTTTTTTTTTAAATCTGCATAATGTAGCCCCTGTAAGTAACTAGAATGGGGGGCACATATTGTGGCAGATGTTTTAGTAATTTCTGCTATAGAAATTTGAAAACACACCTCATCCACACCCAACAAATAATAAATGAAAAACAAATTCTTAAAATTTTACATAGGGAGTCATAATCCTAAATATTGGTTGCTCCTTGGGTTTCTGTTTTGGATCTTGGTTTCTGTACCTCCTATTCACCCCAGTAATTAACAGGGTTAGGAGGAAAGGGGAATCAGGAGGTCAGACACCATTTACATGTCTGCAGGTGACAGCTACAGCATGGCGTAGAAGTTCATTCACAGCCTCTGCTGTGTGCCCATTGCCACCCCCTCAGTCACAAGAACTTGGCAGCCAACTGTTCTCACCCATAGCCTGTACTATACTATCCCTGATGGCCAAGAAAGGCCCCATTCATCCTTATGTATGTGGTCAGAAGTCACGTGGTGCCCCACAGAGGAATGTGTACTCCTCCAGGACTTGGGGCCTGGGTGCCTCCCTCTGGGGCAGCCACAGTCAGCAGTCTGTGCCTGTGTGTTTCCACCCTAGGCCAAGGAAATCTGGGAGGGCAGAGCCTCCAGTGGTTCTAACATTTAAACAAAAGCACGTGTTTTGTCCCACTCTCCACATTGTCATCGCTTAAAAGTGTACGCCATGGATGAGTTTTTTCTCATTCTGGAAATGTTCACTTCCACTGGTCTTCCTCCTGCAACTTTGAACTCGAAGAAAAGCACGATTTGGGATGGTGCATTTAGTTGACAGCTGTCTTTACACAAGGCAGCCCAGAGGACCTCTTTCATATCAATTCTGACAACCACCCAAAAAAATGTCTGGCATGAGAATCTAAGCCTTAGCCCAACAATTTAGTGATCTGGCCATTGTCACAGAACTGTACCTCTTGCCCAGTAAGAAATGACCCTAGTGTCCAAATAACCACCACAGCAAGTGTTCTGGTTCTTCCCCTTTCCCAGAGGTTATTAATTTAAAATACAGCCTTCTAGGTACACTGTAATCTTACATTAAAAATTATATGGCAAAGGTCAATAACAGAAGAGACTGGACTTTGATTCCATCTAACAGATTTTTTAAAAAATGATAACCTATTTTTTTTTAATTTTGAAAGTTATAATGTGAGGTTGGATTATTTAGAGTAAAAGATACAAGAAGGACTCCTACAGTTGAATCAGTCACTGTTAATGTTTTGCTCTATTCCCCTCCAAATAATGAAGGGCTTTGCTAATGGGAATTAGCTCTAAGTTGCTGCCCAGCATGGGCTCCTAGAGAATATTAATCGCATCTCCCCTTGGGGAGGCAGGCAGGCGTAGAAAGAGCATGGGGGAAATTCTGAAGCTCCAAGTCCTTACCTCCTTCCCCCGGAGTCCAGTTCCCAGCATGTAGACCTGGCTTTCCTCCTGATAACGGATCTGGATGTTGTAGACTTTATCTTTGTACAATACCATGAGGACATACGGGTTGCTTATTGTTTTTTTAGAGCTGTCTCTAACCAGAAAA